CTCATTAAAGGCTGGGAGAAGGTAGTGGATGTGGCGGTGGTCTCCAGCTGAGGCCTGCTCACTGATTCTGACGGGAAGGCACATTGGTTGATGCTCTCCCTCCTCGCCCTCCCTGTCTCTGAGGCTGCTTCCTCCAGCCTAGCCTGTCCACTGTGCCTTCTATGGCCAGCCTGGGGCAGCCTTTCTGTACGGCCTCTTTCCCACTCCCCTTTCCTTTACTCTGTCTTCTAAAGATGCGCCTGCACAGCCAAGTGGTACCAGGCTAAGATGCTTTACACTTGAGAGATGAAGTAATAACAGGTGGCAAGAGCAGAGGCTGCTGGAGCCCAGGATTCCAGTTGCCATGGAAACATGTCAGCCCGGTAGTGGGACAGAGGAACTGTCAGCCATGGAGGGTGGCGGGGGAACAAGTGAGAGGGGTTAGGAGAGGCACATCTTTTCCTGGAGGGCTCTGCTTATAGCTCCCAGTTTTTTTTTCCAGGTGCTATACACCCCAAGCAAGCAGGCTCTGGACAAACAGCTGCAGATTGGGGGCTGGAGCTCACGCTAGCTAGTGGACACTGAACATGGCCTCACGCTTGTGCACACCAGGTCCTGGCAGGCAGCCTGAGCATCTGCTCAGAACGAGGGGCCATGCCTTTGTGCATATGCCAGGAAGAAGCATCAACTGCTGGCCTGCTTCCTCCTTCCCCAGGACACCTGGGATATGGTTCTAATCTCTCCAGAGCTCAGGAGAGAGGTTATTGATGGTGTCCAGACTGGCCATGAGTGACAGGTATATTGCAGCAGGGTAGCATTCACAGGAGAGCAAGGCAAACCTGTCATGGATTTGGGACTTTATTTTCTATGGCCATAAGACATAATTTAATCAGTAAGTCCTTTAGCATGCTGATGTTCCTCAGCATGCCTGCTCTCACTTCTCTGAGCATGGTGGCGAGACTCTCTGAGCCAGTGAAATAGCCTATGTTGGACGTGTAAGTTAAGATACCCGTTTCTTTTCCTTTCTCTTGCTCTAGTTATTTAAATATCTCCTCTTTCTTCTCTGTTATTTTCCCCTGCATTTCTTCATGACCTTTGTACCTGACCTCTATTTATCCAAATTTGAGGTTTTCTTGAGTTGTCTGCCCCAGGTAAATCCCCAGACTCTCAAGGCTGACTTCCTTTTCTTGGCAGTTTACCCGTATCCCTTCTACAGTCTCTGTCACAAACACCAGTCACCAGTGAAGCAGACCCGTCACTGTGGACACTGCCGTCAGGACACCACTCGGGTGTCCTGTCCTCCCTGTCGTCCTCGGCTTCCAAGTCAGGCTAAAGGGGAACCTTATTTCCCATGAGCGGCAGCAGAGTCTCTATTTAAAGCCCACTTTAAAGGTCTGGACAAGCCCCCTATTTATAGTAAAATCCTTTTTATAATGATTCATGTATGGTGCCTGGAAATTGCTCATGGCTAGGTCAGACCTTAGGCCAATGTGGCCACAGGATGAGCTATGACTTAGCACTCTTTCAGACTCTCTGGAGTTCACCAGAGAACTGCTATCATAGAGTCAGCCTGGATGGATTACTATGGCAGGGACAGTAAATTGAAGTTCAAAGGGAATCCGCTTTTATCAGGCCAATCAAAATAATTTTTATTGCCTCAAGCTTTATAATTAATATATTGGATGAATCAAATAGACTCCAAAGAGGTTTATGAAATGCTTACTGTGCAAGGTATGGCCCAGAAAGTGTTTGCTTTTAGACCTCCTGGGAGGCTGAGCAGTTTGAACCTCTGGGGATGTACACAACTGGGGGTGAAACCCATCTCCTTTTTTTACAACTGAGACCTGAATTTTTGGATTTTGGGTACCTCACCTTTCAAACAACTCCTGCTTCACACAGCTTCTATAGGAACCAGTATATGCCAAGCATCTAGCAGAAGCCCCGCCATAGCAGTAAGCCGTATGGTAGATCCCTGATTCTCATCCTTCTCAACAAGCCTTTGAACCACGGGGAGGCTACGTGGGTAGATGTGACCTTGTATCATTTCTTAGGTGATAGTAAATTATGGTTTTGTGTTTTTTGGAGTGGCTGTGCTAACCAGACTTTTATTACTCGGATAAATACCCCAGAGGAACAATTCAGAGGAGAAAAGATTTGGTTCACAGTTCCAGAGGTTTTAAGCCACAGCTGTTCAGATTGGATTTTCAGGGTTACAATGAGGCAGAACATCATGGCAGACAGGGTATAGTGGGGGCAGAGCTACCTACGTCAGATGGCCAGGAAGCAGAGTAGCTTAGCCGGAAGGGGCCAGGGCCGTGATATACCCTCCAAAGACATGCGCCCAGTGACCCACTTTCTCAAACAAGGCTCCTTCTACAGTTTCACTCTCTCCCAATAATCTATTTGGATTTTGAACATACTGTTGGCTTAGATCGTGGATTAGGTCATGACCTGCACAGTACACTCAGTCCCCTTGAAGTTCTACCTTGGAACACTGCTGCTTTGGAAACCGAGCTTTTCAACACATATGGTTTCATACCAAGCCTTAAAGCTATCTGCAGTATTATTCTTCTAGCGATTCAGGACCTTCAGCTACCTACTCTTGCATATTCTGGGAGTGGGTGTGAGTTTGTCTGTTTGGACATAGACTATCTCTTTGAGGAGTCAAAAAAAAAAAGCCAAAAGCAAGAAAAGATTGTTTTGCTAGAGGGGAAGCTGATATCATGCTCTGTGTTCACGAAGAAGGTTCCAGGAGCATCATATGATACCTGTTTATATTTTTGTCGTCTTTTCTAAGCCATTCAACCCACAAATTGTTGGTCCCATTTCCAGTATGCAAGTCATGCAGGCAGCCCAGAGTTAAATCTATCTAAGGAAATAGATCATTGTGTGTTAATATATGAGACACATGTATCAAGAGATGTAATAATGCTACCAACATAGTGCCTTCTCGAAGCTGTAGTCATTATTGGGAATAGGTAGGGTCCATGGAAGCACCTGAATCTTGAATATCAAAGAGCATAAGGGAACTAATGTATATGCTCTTAGGCCATACCTTGTCATTTTGCTGAGATGGAAGGAAGCTTTGTGCCTATCGCTGCAAGAAGAGTAGAACCTCAGCTGAAGTTAAAGCGTGGCTGTTACTGTCCCCCTGCCCTCTCCTTCCCCACCTCGTGGTGCTCCATCACCGAGCCACACCTGTCTCTCACTGTCACCGTCTAAACTGGACATTGCTAAACCACAACAAACCCCTCACCTCTTCTTGCACATCCCTAAGTCTACGCTCCTCACTCCCTTACACAGACATTCTGTCTTTCTGTGTACACAGGGATACTGCCCTGACACCCTGTCTTCGGAAACTTCTTTAAAACTCGGGTCCCATGCCTGCCAGACGAGTGCTCCACTAATGAGACATGTCCCCTGCTCTATTCTGGCTATTTTATTTAAATTCCATGAGTTGCCAAGGTAGGCCTTTAACTTTCTTTGGCAAGCCTTGAACTTAGAATTCTCCAGCCCCAGCCCCTTAAGTACCTGGGAATATAGGCTTGTACCACCAGACCTGACTTGGAGTTCTTGCTTCAATGGAGTAGTCTACTTCTTTGGTGAAGAATGTGAAGAACAGTCTGGAAGTTATTGTTTTCTCTATTTTCCCTCTTCATCTTTATAAACCATCAGGAAATACAGTCAATTGAAGGCTTGCAGGGCTTTTGGTGGCAGAAGGATTTTGAGAATGGGGAAGGCATCTGATATTGCAGGAAGTCTGTGTGCATATAGGAGAAAGTCAGACTGGGAGTCCGAGGCCTTCCTGGCACAGTGTATACGGATCTCCTGTCCTGTACACGGGAAGCTTCTCAGATGTGAGGAGCACGGCCCACTTAATATCTAGTTCACCCAATCGTGAAACTTTGCTTCTAAATTTAATATTTTAGCACCGCTAGTTTATAGTTACCACTTAATAGCCTTCAGCATTTCTTTTGAATAGGAAGCCTTACGTTTATTTGCTTCTTAAACACGCTTAGATTTTCTCTAGGAAGTACTGGCAATGAGGGAGAGAGCAACTGAAAGCGGCAGAAAGGGCAGAGACTGGTACTTCTGGCTCGGGCAAAGCACACTTCATAGGCAGCATAAAATTTCGGCAGATGCGCAGGCCTTGGGAGAGTATTTGGAAAGTCACCCTGCTTGCTCTTCAGATGTCTTTGAGATCCAGTGCCCGCGGAAGGGAAGCCCATCCTCAAAAGACCACAGAGGGTGGCCCGTTCCTCTGCCTCCCCCAAACAGCCGACACTTTTCTTGCAGAGGATTGTCTGCCTGCTTGAAGATGGAAATCAATGACTTAGAAACTGATTAAACAATTCAAATAGCAACTGATAAATGGATTAACCCTCTGTAATGTAATTCCACTAGCCTTTGTCTTCCGCCTTCCCCAGGTAAGCTTTCTATTCCTGGAGGCAAAGCAGAGGCACGGAGGAAGCCAAGGCCAGAGGGAATCATATTAAAGGGGGCGAATCCGTTTATCACTTACGGTCTGGCTGGTGTTTCTGTTCACATATCTGCCTCCTCTTCACAGATTCGTACCCTACGGGACCCTGATTAATGTTAGCCGGTGAATAATGAAAGATAGCAGCGGACTCGGAGGATGCTGAGGAGGAACATACCCTAGTGGTTAAGGCTGACTCCACAGACAGAGAGACTTTTCTTGTTAGTGGCAATCAGGGAGTGTGAATATCCCTAAGAAATGTCTACAACAGGATGAGAGAAATAAGAAAATGGAAGCATTCTCCCGTGTGAGGAACCTGGTCTGGGCTTTCCAACCATCCCTTAGTAACTGGGAATGACTTTGGGCCTCAAAGACATGGGCATTACCACTGGGCTCTGTTTTCAAGGTCACACCTAAGGAGTGTTCAACACCTTTGTTTGGAAATTCAGCAGGCGTAGGTTATGGAGTTATTGTGTCCAGTTACTTAAGCCTATACATGTGATCATTCCCCCATCATTCCATTCATCTCTGACATGGGACACAGTCACCCTGTGTCCACTTCTAATTCTAGGCATTTGGGGTTCTTCAGATGAACTTATCCTACTTGCTTTCCATGATGGACGAGTCTACACCCTGAGAGCTGACGCTAAGAACAGACACTTGTGCACACTCCAAGGTGTTTATCAAGAGTTCTCAGGAACCTCTCCAGCTCGCAGTCTAGAAGTGACTATCTACAGATACTGAATAAGCATCTCTCTCTCTCAAAGGCTAGGCCAAAGCATTGGCTGCTCTCTCCCTCAGGGTATCACTGTTTGCAATTTCCATCTGATGTTTTGGAGTCTGCGCAGGATTAACAGAAGCTTGCTTGACTAATAACTCATACCATTTTGAGTAGTTTATTAATTTAGAGATGGAATCAGAGGGGCAGTGAGGTTTCTATTAAAAAAAAACATAGAACTGGAAAAATTTGCAAAGATGAGATGCTGAATGACTTGCAAAATGTATACCAGTGAACCAAGGGATGGGGAGGAAGCAAAAGCAAACAGAGCCTAGCCCAATATCACCGCTAGGCTGTAGCAAACTCTTCCATCCTAAGCTTTCTGTTCTTTCTGGAAGAGGCTCTGCTGTGCTCCAGTAAAAGAATGGGCAGCATCTAAATCTAAAATTGGAATTCTTTCTTAATGTTTCCACAGCCCAGAAAGGACCAGATGGGACAGTCATTCCCAATAACTACTGTGACTTCTGCCTGGGGGGCTCAAATATGAACAAGAAGAGTGGGAGGCCGGAAGAGCTTGTGTCCTGTGCAGACTGTGGACGCTCTGGTGAGTGTGGCCCCTTTCTGCACTGTGTGCCATAGACCTCTTCTGTTTGGAGTGCTCTGCCCTCTCACCATGGCTGGGGAGGGAGAGGAGCACGGAGAAGTGACGGTGGTGATGGTTTTGAGGGGAAAAGGGGGTTTCAGGTCACTTCCATGTTTTCCTTCTTTGGGTCTTGAAGAACAAAAAACCCACCATTCTCTGGGTCCCAGGTGAAAGGGTGAGGAGGAGGTATGGCCCTTCCATGGGGTGTACATTGTTTTGTATGCGTAGTTGTGGTCAAAACCAAAGTAGAGCGGAGATACCTGGAGGTTCCAGGCAACACGCTAGCCTGTACTACAAGATGAATGTAGCAAAAATTGTGTTTGTTCTGTGGAAATACCTGGGGCAACCCCAGAGTATGGAAACAGAAGTATTAGGGACGCCCGAACTGTGGGGCTTGGAGAGTCCTGGGCTCCTTTACAGCCGCATAACCCTACCACCACCATTGGCCGCTCATCCCATATTTCCACGTGTGACAGCACAGAGCTACCTACCCAGGAGGCATTAGGGCAAGCGTCCTTGAGACCGACCTGCAGCTGACCTTTTGCATACTCTTTTTCTCTTGTCTATCCAAAGGCTCAAGTATCAAAAAGAGACTTTTGGTCTCGTTCCTTCATTCTTAAAACGAGTTAAAAGTCTTGGCTTGGTTTTTAATTGTAGATCAATCATTCTTTTTGCCTGATCATGGTTGGTTGGTGCCACCCCTCCCCAGTTTTTCTACGTCATAATTAGACCAAAGCATAAGGCAGGAAGGAGACATGATTTCAGAAGGCATCTTCAGTTTCATGAGCTGCTGGCTAGAGGCGAGACACTTTGGCTGGGTGGTTGCACAGCATGGGAGATCATTTCATCTGATGCATTTTGACCCTAGTCCCAAGAGAAGGACTGAGGTGACCTCATCTTGGTTTTCTGCAGTGACTCAGTTCTCCCTTGTGTGCCCTCCAACTTTACCTTTAGCACGATGTGTTTTGAAGCTAAAGTTGTTTAGGGCTCTAGACAGCCTTGAGCGGTAAACCAGCAATTGGAAACATGACTTAGTGTCCATTGCATAAGACCCTTTATTTAATTCTCAAGGACCCTGCCAGGGAATTCCTTTCATGCAATTCTGTCAATTTTGTTCATGGTCCATAGCGTGATACGTAACATTGAACTTTTTACTTAGAAGATACGACCCTTATGATAGACAGCGCTGGTTTTAGATTTTTGAAAAGAAACTTAAAACAAATGAACTTCAACCCAGTGCTTTTCATTTGTTTTAAGGTCAGGCACTCAAGCAGCATCTCTCCTATGAGAAGCAAGGCCATTTGGTGGAGTGGCGCGTTAGGTAGGGTGTCGTGGACCACTGTAGGCTTTGGGTGGTTTAGGGAAGGCAGTTGGAGACTTCTCACTGTGAAATGCTGTCATTTCACCCTTTCCTGACCAACAAAAGGATGAGGTACTTCAACTGATCCATGGGCATCGTAAGCAGGATGTCGGGTTTTGTTTTTTTCCCCTCTACTACATGAAATCTGTCTTTGTACAACTTTTGCTCAGTGTTTCTTTCCTTGGTTCTGCCTGATATGTGTGCCTCACGTGTCATGTTACAGTGACATAGGTATTCTCACTGCGATTGCTGGGGATGAATCTGGTGGGTCACTTATTACCACCTGACTCTAATGCTCCCGAAATTGTTAAGAACCAGGTAGCATTAGCCCCTGAATGGGACCGCTAAGTCAGATGGGTGAATACATCTTTGGGGCCTCTCTAGGGCTCTTCCAGAGGAGAACATGAGTTGGAATAGCAACTATTCCCTGCTCACATACCCACTGCCTCTGATTCCTGGAAGAAAGTGCCTTGTCCAGCCCTGGCACAGAAGGGACCATCACTATGGTATTGGGTTCCAATAGAGTATGAAACAATTTAAGCCCGAGGTTTACAGATTTTAGGATACTGTATTCGTTAGGCATTTTAAAGCCCCATTTTCACCTTTCGGTGTGTCTTGAGTTCGAGTTGACAGGATGAACTTTCTGGAGTAGCTAAGACCCTGGTATGTTTAGTGGTGGTAGTGTGTGAGATTGCAAGCATTTCCTTCGGGGTTTAAGAAAGTGAGAAGTTGCCAAGGGGTGGTGGCGCACACCTTTAATCCTAGCACTCAGGAGGCAGAGGCAGGTGGATCTCAGTGAGTTTGAGGCCAGCCTGGTCTACAAGACCTAGTTCCAGGACAGGCTCCAAAGCTACAGAGAAATCCTGTCTCGAGAGAGAGAGAGAGAGAGAGAGAGAGAGAGAGAGAGAGAGAGAGAGAGTTCTTCCGAACTAACACTTCAATTTTCCGTTGCTCTTTGCTTTTGGCACAAATGAACTACATGGTGTAAGGGTGGAATTGAAAGAACTGTCAAAGAGTGGGATTAGAGGTGGGTAAAAATAAAAATAAAATGGATGGAGGCTTAACCACCTTGAATGGGTTATCTGAGAGTAATACCTTGGCAAAGCTGACTGTCAAAGTGACGGACGAACATTGTTCAAAGAAACGTCAACTGGAACTACAAAGAAATACCAACAAGGCTTTAAAACCGCCAGCCAAAAGCGTTGTGTGGGGCAGGGCTGGGGGAGCGTGTGCCTCTGTGCGAGCGGACCAGAGGAGATATCGTGCGTGTATCTCTTGCTGTCAGAAGCGGTGGACACATGTGTCTTGGTAGCGATGGGACCTTATTCAGGGAAGTGGAATCTTCCTGAAAACGTGTGCTTTGTCCCTAATCCCTGTTACCAGGTGATATACCTGGTTAGTTCCTTTTGGTGTAATGGTGGCTGATTATCTTGCTGTTAGGAATAACGCTGTAATGCTGTAATGAGAATATTAATGATGCTGTCTGTTGCTTAACCCATGTGCTGATATATTCATCATACATGTCAGCTCATTTGGGAGGAGAAGGCAGGAAGGAGAAGGAGGCAGCGGTCGCAGCACGTACCACGGAGGACTTATTCGGTTCCACGTCAGAAAGTGACACCTCAACTTTCTACGGCTTTGATGAGGACGATTTGGAAGAGCCTCGCTCCTGTCGGGGACGCCGCAGTGGCCGGGGGTCACCCACAGCAGACAAAAAGGGCGACTGCTGAGCCCGTGGGACAGACTGTCTGGCCGATTAGCCACCCCCTCTGACTCTGGTCATTGTTCTAGTTGTGATATATATTTTTAAATGAAAGACGACTTGGGCTTTTCCCGTTATCCTTGCTTTTTTTTTCCTTCTACCTTCCACGTGTCCCTCCCCCTCCTCGCATCCTTCTATTTTGGGTACCACAGAATCACAAACTACCGAAAACAAAACAACCACAAAAGAGCGGAATTAGAGCCCTCTGTGGAGAGACGGCACCATGGTGGGCTATTTATTTTCCCTAGAAATAGGAAGTTAGGTGGATTTTCTGTTGGGCGAGAGCATCTTTTTGGTGTGAGCAGAGTTGATTTCCCCGGTTTTCAAGAGAAGAGGAACATAAGGTTTGGAAACAAAGAATAAATAACATTAACAATTATTATTTATACCTGTTAGCTATTATTAGATTCAGGTGTGGGAAGAGAAAGAGAGAGAGAGGGGAGAGAGAAAAATCAAAGAAATGGAAGTAACGTTCTGTTTAGAGGCCAGCCATTGGGTGTGTGTGTGGAAAATTTCCTCAGTGGGAGTGGGTGGCTCCGCAGAGCAGACCCCTTCCCATGTCTCCTTCATGACCTTTACATCTCTCTGCTTGTGAGAAAATGGCAAACATCCCAGAGAGGCCTGGGGCCACTTACATCTGGCCTCCTTCCAGCTCTGGCTCTGACCAGCAGTGGCCGCTTCCCTTGGCTCCTCTCTTCTTTCCCTGTTGCTGAGTTTCCCTTCCTTTCGTCCTGGCAAAGATCAGCGACCATCTGAACACAGGAATGGAATGTCAGCAAGTCACAGGCTCAGCCCAGGCAGAGCGACTGAGGTGGCTGGCGCTCCTGGAAGGAAGAGGGATGCCGCACGGAGCATCTCCCCTCCCTTTGCCCCTGCGTAAAAAAACCACGTAGCCGCCCATTGGATGATGCCGTCTTCCGTATTTCTTCCACTTTTTATAGTGCCTGCCAGGCACTTTGTTTTATCTTTCCAATAGCATTTCCTGAAATAAACCAAAGCAACACTTGGTCCGAGGCCTCAGGGATAAGGAAGACTGTCCACCTCATTGGCAGTCCCTGAGAGCAGCTGGGAGGCCCTGCTTAAACAGGTATGTCCTGGCTGAGTTGTTTCACAATGAGTGCAAAAACCATCATAGTTGTTGTTGTTTTTTTTTTTCCTCTTCGCTTTCCCCCCTTTTTATTTCTTTCCTTTGGTTCCTCTAAGCTTGCTCTTTTGTGTTTCTGGGGTCCCCCTTTGCGGTGTGGGGTGGTGAATGGAGAGTCTGGCCTGTGTGTGCATGCTGGGCCTAGGTGCTGGGCTGATGCCGGCTTGGGAATAGGGGAGGGGCTTGATATGGAGAACGGCAAGCTTCTGGCTTCTGGCTTTGGCTTTGGCTTCAGCTGAAAGAGAAAGTGGCTGGGGAAATGCTTGGCTGACTTTTCCCTTGGTTAAATGTGGAAGTGAAGTCTGTTGGCTTGGGTAGGAATAAAGAGGCAGAGAACAGGATCCTGCATGTCTAGGGTGGTACTTTGGGCTCTGGGGATCTGTTTCACAGCCAAGGGACTGAGTCTAAATTCAGGATTTCTGGGCTGGCGAGATGGTTTTTTGGGCAAGGGTGCTTGCAGCTAAGCCTGACAACCCGAGTTTGGTCTGTGGAATTCACATGGTGGAAGGAGAGAACTGACCCTTGTAAGCTGTCTTCTGACATGTACATGTGCACCCTGGCATGTGTGAACATACAAAGACACATAGGAGCATGCATGAGCATGTGACGCATACACACACAGAACAAGCCAACCAACCTACCAAACAAACAAGAACCTCTGACTAAAGACCTCTGATTAAGCACAACACTCAACT